GGAAGAGATAGTTTCAAGCATTATCATACGGCTGAGGAACTATTACTTTGGAAAGAAGCAATGTCCCTGAATAATTATCCACTGAGTAGAAGTACTGATGATAGAGATGCATCGACATTTAAGGAATTTACATTCAAGTGGCATGAAATCCCTTTGTAAAATTTACATCATTGTACAAAGTAGCTATTGGTTATAAATTACTATAGGGCAACAGGTGTTGTGGGACAGTGGGTTAAGCTGCCACTTGTGATGCCCACATCACATACTGGAGTGCTAATTGGGGGAAGAGCTCCTCTGCTTCCCATCCAGCTTCTTGCTAATGCGTCCTCGGAGGCAGCAGATGATGGCTCAAGTATGTGGGCCCTTGCCACTGTGTAGATATGGCTGGAGTCTTTAGCTCCTGGCTTTGGCCTGGTCTAGTCCTGGCTATTATAGGCATTCGGGGGAATGAACCAGAGGAAGGAAGGGAGATTCTCTCTTTCTCTCTCTCTCTGCCTTTCAAATAGGTAAAAAATGTAAATTACTATAAATACTTATACAGAAGATATTTAACAAATACTTCTATTCATAGCACTATACTTGATACTGGGGATACTGGAGAATATTAAAGGACATGAACTACAATTCCTGTCCTGGGAGAGTTTACAGTCCAGAAAAGAAAGTTATTTGATCAAACAGTCAGAATGTCAGAAATTAAGCTCTGTAAGGGAGGCAGGTACAAATGTCTAGTGGGGTAAAGACAATATTTTTAGATAGAAAAGGAAAATCCAAGGTTGGGAGAATTTCCAAGGCCCTGGAGGTTGTGAGTTCATTCATCTGCATGGACAAATGGGAAGAACTTTGCATATGAGAAATCATCTAACTCCATTACTCTCATCAAACCAATACAATGGGCCAAATCTCTTCCTTCATATCTGGGCTACTTCTGATTATAATAGCATGCCCTTCACTAGTAGCTGGATTATCCTGCTTATATCCACAACATTTTTATGTTTTAATAAAATATCCCTTGCAAAATGTGTTAACTGCTCTATATAATACAGCAATAATGCATAATAAATATATAATATGTGAAAAACAAAATAGAAAGCATCTATATTAATGTGAAATTTTTTTTTAGAAGAGAAATGTTGTCAAGTTTCCAAAATCCCTTAGTTAAGTAAGTCCTCATGTTTAAGTAGAGCACTCTTCTCTCTATATTATCTTTTAAAAACAGCTCCCAAAATTGTCAGCTACAGTCCCTGTTCTATGCTGGTATTTCTTGGAGGACTGGATAGAAAAATCCAAGGGCATGTTTGGTTCAGAGAATTGGATGGGAATCTTATGCATTGCTGCATTGACATTCTACCCAGCATATGTAATGGGTTGGCTAATGTGAATTCAAGTTTTAGCAGAAAAATGTCTTCAGAGATTTACAATCTATTTTGATGATCCCAGATGTCATACCTCCTTCTTTGTAGAAAAAAAATAATTTTCAACATCTTTAAAATTCTAGTCTTTAACTTTGTGTGTATCTGTGAGTTTGTACTTGGTACAATTGGAATTTTTCATTTCTTCTCTCAAGCTACAGACTCAATGCTTCATTTCATCAAACTCATGGTCTGTGAGTGATGTTGCTATTCTCTCATCACAACCCTCTTCCACTTCTTCATTATAATCCTATCCTTCCAGGACATCTTTAGCTGTAATTTACCTACAGTCACAAGATGCTTTCCGTTTTCTTTGTCCATAATTTTCCATTCATTTCCCTTTCTTTATCATCGTTTTATAGACTGAATGCCTCTGCTCTCTCATCATTCGCTAATTAGCATGTCTCCATGGTAACAGACAGTTGCGGAGCAGGAATCATTCTCTGTACTGGCCACTGCTGAGCAACCTCTGGGCCTAGCAAGGCGGGGCCTTGACCCGATTAAGATAGGGAGACTTTTCTCTTCTTGGCAGGAGAGGATCCATACATTTCAGAGAAGGCTCTGTTTCCTAGGGGAAAGAATAAGTCAATTTGATTGAAAAGGAGTGTATACTTGGACTCAGGCATACAAAAATCAAAGTATGAAATAAACTAAGAAAATATTAAAGAAGATGCCAAAAATATCTAATGCTGATTCTCTGCTGCTGATTTGTAAAGATTATCGGTGCTTTGATTTCAAATATGCTATGAAGCAACTGGTAACAAATATATGGTAACATTTACCTTTAATTTTATGTATACAATTCAATAAGTACCTCAGTTGTTTGAATCTATGTTAGAGAACAACTCTACTTTTGGCTTTATGAGGCTTAGTTATTATTAGTTTTAAATTTTACTTTTACTATTTTTACAAAGAAAGGAGCCCATAATCATATACTTATTTATTTATTATTATTATTTTAATCATATAAAGTAGCTATCATGGCATTAATTATTGTGAGTTCACTGTTGCAGGTTTTATTTTTGATAAGTTTTATGGCATTTTATGGGACTTATAAAAACAAATCCACTGTACCTCTTCCTTTGGTTAAGTGGCTAGGAAGTATGATATTAGCTATAATTTATTTTTTTAAAAGTTTGTAATTTGAAAGTCAGGGTGATAGAGAGGAAGAGACAGACAGACAGACACACACACACACACACACACACACAGATCTTCTATCTACTGATTCACTTCCCAAATGGGCAAAATGGCTGGGGCTGGGCCAAGACAAAGCCAGAACCCTGGAACCCCATCCAGATCTCGCACATGAGGTAGCAGAGACCCAAGTACTTTGGTCGAATTCTGCTGCTTTCCCAGGAGCAATAGCTGAGAGCTATATTGAAAGAAGACCAGCTGGGACTTTGGAATGGGATGGCCACATTGCAAGCAATGATTTAACCCACTGTACCACAATGCTGACCTCTAGTTTTATTGACTACTTATTATGTATTAGGTAGGCTGTACAGTAGGTGTTTTGTGTACATTGTATCTAGGCATCATGACGACTTTTCAAGAGATGTTACTATTATTCCAATATTATGATAAAGAAATTGAGATTCACATAAGTTGAGTAATACTTCCAAGGTCAAACATGTAGTAAAAGACTGTTGCTAGAGTAAAAAAAATGAAATCCAGTCATTTAGAACAAAATGGAGGAATCTGGAAAACATCATGCTGAGTGAAATAAGCCAGTTCCAAAGGGACAAATATCATATTTTCTCTCTGATCTGTGGCAACGAACTGAGCACCTAAAAGGAAACCTGTAGACGTGAAACTGACACTTGATCAGCCCTTGTCCTGACTGTTGAGGAACAGCTTACTATTTTATTCTTTTTAGTATTTTCTTTTTCTACTTAATACCCTTGGTTGAACTCTTTAAGTAACACAGAATTATTCTTAGGTGTTTAAAGTTAACTGAAAGTTGATCCCTGTTAAAAATAAGAGTGGGAATAAGAGAGGGAGGAGATGTACAGTTCAGCACATGTTCCCTCAGACTTACCCCTAAGGGTATAGCTAAAAACTTGCCATGGGACTCCAAATCCCATTAAGTTGGTAGGTGCCAATGCCATCTTACAAGTTAAAGTGATCAGTTTAAGTTCATAACTGATCATAAAGATAGGATTAAATGTCAAAGGGATCACATAAATAAGACTAGTGTCTGATAATAATAATTGATAGAATGAAAAAGAGGTAATGATCCAATATGGGAAGCAGGATACACAGCTGACTCATAAAATGACAAATGCCCTAAATAGCACTCTGGCCTTAGAACCAGCCCTGAAGGCATTTGGATCTGGCTAAATGGCCCATGAGAGTATTTCAGGCATGGAAAGCCAAGACACTGTGGCAAAAAAAAAAAAAAAAAAAAAATGACCGAAATGAAAGATCTCTGTGAGTGAGATCCCAGCGGAAAGAACGGGCCATCAAAGAAGGAGGTACCTTTCTCTGAAGGGAGGAGAGAACTTCTACTTTGACTAGGGCCTTGTCTAAATAAGATAGAAGTCAGCAAACTCAAGAGGCTTCCATAGCCTTGGCATCTCATGACAAGAGCCTCAGGTGATTACTGATACCATGAATAAGAGTGTCAATTGTTAAATCAACAACAGGAGTCTCTATATACTTACTCCACATGTAGGACCTCTGTTCTTAATGTGTTGTAGTATGAGAATTAACAGTAAAACTAATCTTCAAATAATACTTTATACTTTGTGTTCCTGTGTGGGTGCAAACTGTTGAAATCTTTACTCAGTATAGAGTTGACCTTCTGTATATAAAGATAATTAAAAATGAATCTTAATGAAAAATGGGCTGGGAAAGATAGTAGGAGATGGGATGGCTTGTGGGTGGGAGGGTTGTTAAGGGGGAAAGAGCCACTATAATCCAAAAGTTGTAATTTTGAAATTTATATTTATTAAATAAAAGTTTTCTATTAAAAAAGATTGGTGCTGGACCCCTGGATGCCTGGAACTAAGCCAGTATAAAATATGCATTATCTGCCACCTGTACATTGCTAGAAAAAGATGTTTGTGTAATGATTAGAAAGATATGGTGATACACAAGTGTAGACTCTTGTTTTTATAGGAAAACCTGCATCAACAAAAAAGGGAGGCTGAAATTTGAACTCTCTTGAGTTGTAGACTATAGTAGTTTAGACTATCAAAACTTCATGTAGCAGATGATTTCTGTGGATGTCAAAGAGTGAAATGTTTTAGGAACAGATGGAACCTACAGGAGTATGCCTTTATTTCTTGAAAACATTAAGGTCATGAGTTAAATTTGTGTAAACTGGCTAGAAATATTTTACCTCTAGACTTGTGAATCTGGGAAAACATTGCTATCCTGAGAACTTTACTCTTAATGGTGAGTGAAGATGGACAATGTGTGCTTGTTGGAAGAGTGCTAACCTTTTACCATCTTTTTCTCCAAAAATTTATGATGAAGGGTGTCTTTTTTTCCAAATTTGAATGAGATGCTATCAATTTGCATAATGCATTACAATAATCAAAAGTGTGAAAACTGCTGATACCAAGATGAAATTGTTCTTTTCAGATGCACATAAAATCAGAGCCAGGAAATCATGAAGGAGAAAAGTTCATGCTACTCATCACAAGTAAGTTTTGTCTCAAGGATTTTCTAGGAACTACACAAGAAATTCCTTCACAGGCTACATACACCCCTTGCTTCAATTCTTGCCTATCATGCATACACATATTTTTGTAACAAATTTGTCCTTAATATTCTTTTTAAAATGATTAGTTTTAATTATTTATCTATTTATTTATTTATTTATTTAAGAGAGGGAGAGAGTGAAAGAGTGAGAGAGGGAGGGTAGGAGGGAGGGAGGGAGGAAGGGATGGGGGGAGAGAGAGATAGAGAGAAGGAGAGACTGATTGATTGATTTCCCATTTACTGGTTCACTCTCTAAATGCCTGCAACACTGCAAAAACCAGGGCTGGACCAGACCAAACCCAGGAGCCAGGAACTCCAAACAGGTCTTCCATGTTGATGGCAGGGACCCAACTACTGAGCCATCACTTACTGTTTCCCAGCATACACGATAAGAAGCAGCTGGATCAGGAGTACAACTGCAATTAAACCAAGACACTAGAATCTTAACTGCTAGTCCAAATACCCACTCCTAACCTTAACTGTCCATAAGACTGCAGCAATTCAGATAAGATGCTGTCCATAGAACATAAACACCAATGAGACAGTGCCAACTTTTCTCTTTTGTCCCTAAGACCAATGAACTTGGCATCCAACCAACTTATATGAATTTCTCCCTTTTTGCTAATAAACCTCACTTACTCCAACCTCCTTGATTACACACTTAGTTTACTATGTGACGCATAATCTTATTCCAATACTATTCCCTAATGAGCTTAATCTTTTGAGACACTCTCTGTTGTTTAGGTTGACAAATGTTAACTTATATCTTAAAATTGATTTAAATTATGAAGACTATACTCATTATTCACCATCCCAACAAAATACCTGGTAATTGGGGGGAGTACATTTATTGAATGATTTCTATATGCCAATTATTGTGCAAGTGCTTTCTATATGCTATTGGGGGAGGCTATAAGATGAGTCTCTCAGAGCTCCTTCAGCAGGCAGCAAATTGTCTGGCTTCAGCTGTAAGGCTGTAACGTCCGCCACCAGCTTTGTATGGGCTGTTTCCAGCCAGTGGGTGGACATAACAGGGGTGCTGAGACAGATCTGTGTCTGGGAAATGTGAAGTTCTCTGAGTGACTTCAGACTGAGTACTCCCTACTGGCCTTGTTGAACTTTCCTAGAATCAGAATCAAAATACGTGCATCCAAATGCTGCATTGCCATCTGACTGCTTTCTCAGCCTCCCTCTCCATTTTCCCTAACAAGTGTTTCCCTAATGGACTGTCTTGATGCCTGCTTTCATAGAGAAAATAAATCAACACATTACCTAATTTAACCTCCACAATCTCATGAGGTATTTATGATTATAAAAAAAAATGAGCCTCAAGGAATTTGAAATATTCACTGAGGTCACATAGATAAGTAGTGGCAGGACTCAAACCTTGCTCTAATTACTCACATGGTTTGTTGACACTTCCTGTTGTACCACACTGCCCCAGAGGCTTTACTGTATTCTTCACTGCTTTATGACTGCTGTTTCTGTTGTCAAGTTCTATTGTTAAAACAAGGGAACACAGTAAAAGTCATTCTAAAACTCCCTGGGCCAAAAAAACACAAAAAACAAAAAACTTACAGCAGGAGGCAAGTTGTTGATATAAACTGTTCACCCATTTCCTAGAATAATATACGGTGTAATTTTTCCCCTGTGTGTCACTGGCAGGTAGCTGTCTGGCTACATGGATACATTTGTTTCCTTTTTTTCTCCCTCACACCTTTTTTTGGGTAAATCATAGCTGCAAGTGCTGTACCTGCTTTTCCAGAGATGGCATGTGCTGACTCGACATTCTTTGGGGAGTCTGAGGTCTAGGAACCATCAAGATCGCAATGAAACACAACCATAGAGTTTTTAAGGGCTACAGTGATTACTGTCTGAATGCCTTAACATTATTTACAAGACATCTCTTCTCCTTCAAACCAGGCAGAGGTGTGAATATTCCAATACTGAAGAGGGCTTCCTGGCATGGATAAAATCTGAGTACAGAGCAGGACTGTGGGCTACCTGTGTTACAGTGGAGGCTGTCAGTGAAAGCCACAATGCTGGCTCCAGGAAAGCTCCAACAACTGTATCCCATATGAATCAAGAACGCAGTGGGAAAGTGAAGAAAACAAAGGGAGACTTAGTTTTTTCACCTTGGGTAAAAGAGCAACTGACTCCAAAACCTGCTGAAGGTTCAAGAGGGCTAGGTGCCCGAGGGCCTCCACCTCAATGCTTTAGTGCCAGGAGAGCATTGACATGTTGCCCTCTTTACTTTACAGGGTGTCTATTGGTAAGATTTAGGGAACTGTATCCTTCTCATAGCTGTGCTACTGAAGATTGTGTGCTACAAGGTCATGTGTAGACCCTATGACTGATCCATTCTCTTTCAGATCAGGGCCCCCATCAAAGGTGGACATGTTGACTATTGTCTGATCCATCCCCTGGAATGAACTACTGAGGAATGGAAGCTCCTGCTGCTGGCCTTTTTCTCTCTCAACATTTCTTTAAAATGGTAGTCTTGCCTAATGCTCCAGCTTTGTCTCCTTTGTCTTCTTCCAATGAAACATATGATGAAGATGCTTTCCTTCTATAATCTTTATGTTCCTTAAGCCACAGGTCTTCGTCCAGGAAGTTTCTGTTGCTGAGCATCCTCTTACCCCTCAATGGTTTCTACACCTTTTTCTTTTCTTTTTTCTTTGACAGGCAGAGTGGACAGTGAGAGAGAGAGACAGGGAGAAAGGTCTTTCTTTACTGTTGGTTCACCCTCCAATGGTCGCTGCGGCCGGCGCACCGCGCTGATCCAAAGCCAGGAGCCAGGTGCTTCTCCTGGTCTCCCGTGTGGGTGCAGGGCCCAAGGACTTGGGCCATCCTCTACTGCACTCCCGGGCCGCAGCAGAGAGCTGGCCTGGTAGAGGGGCAACCGGGACAGAATCCGGCGCCCCAACCGAGACTAGAACCTTGTGTGCCAGCACCGCAGGTGGAGGATTAATCTATTGAGCTGTGGCGCCGGCCTCTACACCTTTTTCATCTAATTCTATTCAGACTGAGTTCACTGAGTTCAATGACCTCCACTGAGGTCAGTGGATTCTTCCCTGACCTCTCCAAAATAATTTATTACATGAGTCTCTGAACCTTTCAGTAATGCTTCTGAGATTGCCTTCTCTATGAAGATACAGAATCAAGTTCAACAATATTTTTCTGAATGATTACTCAGTGTTTCACTTTAGAATGATCACTTTCATGTTTAGTATTTCTTGAATCTTCACTTGACAAAAAAACTTACAGAAGATGATTCTTTTAGATTGAGTTGGACTCTCGCTGCCTTCAGACATTGCTGAGTCATTGACCCTTGGGGGAAGGAAAGATCTAAGAGACAAGGGATATTTTTGACCACTGCTCATGAAAAATAATAAAACAAAAATAACAAGAAAATTCCCTGCAACTTTAAGTCTCTGATTTCCTCAGAACCTTTCAGAAGATGTTCTAGACAATTTTTATAGCCCCCCTTACAGTGGCCCTTTGCTGCTCTAGGGCACATAGTAACCATCTGTGTCATAGGTCTCTTCGGAAATAATGTTGGTTTGTCACAGTTGTCAAGAGCCCTGGAAGCCTCCAGTGTCAGCAGGGCACAGGATCTGCATGGCCCTACTCTATATGGCCACTGCACCACAACTTCAGTCTGTCCTACCTTGTTCTTGTAAAATCATAAGTAATAAACCAGTGTACCCACATAATGCCACATAATGTTAAGAAGCACCGTTTCATGCTTATAGCAGTTTTGATCCACTTCTTATCCTCTGCTTCAAGCCATGAGGGGGCGGTGGTCAGTTCCATAAAGTCATTGTTGATCAAAAAACAGCTTTTATTTTTCACGAATTCAACTTCAAAACTCTTTTGAGGGGCCAGTGCTGTGGCTTAGCAGGTTAAGATGTTGCCTGTTATGCTGGCATCCCATATGGGCACCAGTCCAGGTCCTTGCTGCTACACATCCAATCCAGCTCCCTACTAATGGCCTGGGAAAGCATTTGAAGATGGCTCAAGTGCTTAGGCCTCTGCTACCCATGTAGGAGACCTGAATGAAACATCTGGCTACTGACTAACCTGGCCCAGCCCTGTCCATTGCAGCCAGTTGGGGAATAAACCAGGAGATGGAAGATCTCTGTAACTCTGCCTTTCAAATAAATAAATAAATAAATCTTAAAAAGATCTTTTGAAACAAACAACTTTGCATTAAACCAACAACATTAATCATGGGCCAGTAAATCATAACCTATTGGCCAAACCCATCTTGCTGCCTGTTTTCTGAAACTAAGTTTATTGCAGCACATTTGAGCCATTGGTTTACATGTTGTCCATGACCGCTTTCATGCTATAATAGCAGAGTTGAGTAGCTGCAAGAAAAATCACATGGCTCACAAAGACTAAAATATTTAGTATCTGGTCCTTCATAGAAAAATATTACTAGCTTCTGGGTTCAACCCAGAGTTTTGCCAGAAAGAATAGATGTAAACTTTAATATTCAGTTCTTATGAAAAGTCTGATGGTGAGAATATATTTCTCTCCAATGTTAGTTTCAAGAAAGCTATGTGAGTTTGTCACTTGATGGGCATGTGAGTCTAATGAGAGATTTTACCTCTCCTTTAGCTTTGGCCTCCAGAACACCATGAGCCAAAATTGCAACCTTTCTCAGCAGAGAGGCATGTGGTACTGATATTTACCAATTACAAGTTTTTCTACCCTTAAGTTTTCTTCACTTGATAACTTAACTATTAATTTTAGTCTGATGGCCTTGTATTATATACTTTTTGGGAAAAGGTTAAAAAAATGCATAGGTAATATGCTATTCTATGTCCCCTATAGTCAATTGTCTAGAATTGTCTGCCTCTACTTTTTAGATTAAAAACTCTTTGGGCACTGACTATATTTTAAGGTGTTTCCTAAAGAAAATGCAATGGGTCT